TGTACTTAGAAAAGTACTGAATTCTAAGTACTCAAAGATAAAGTGCATTAACATATATAACTTATTTTTGAAATACATTGAAGAATTCCAAGTGGACTTATAGGTAGACAGGTAGACAGACAGACAGACAGACAGACATAGTTACATAAGGAAGTAACGCAATAAAAAATTATAGATCTGGGAATTTGTGAGTATTCACAACACAATTCTTTTAAGTACTTTTATAATATAACAGTAGGAAATGATACTGTTTAGACTTTGAAAAAGGATCTGTATTTATTTATACATTCATATAATCACTTTAAAAACAAATGTAAATTTTATGCTGCTCATCTAAGAAAAATCTTATAAGCAGCCAAATAAATATTCTTAGCAAACATGACATTCTTAATATTCACCATTTACCAGAGGGTAATAATGAATGGAAAGAAGGTTAAGGTGAGAAAAAACAAACACTACAGACTGTTAAAAGAGATCTTTGTAAGGCTATAGTCACACAACTGGCTACAGAAAAAGAATGCTGCAATGCATTGTTTACAGATGATTTTTTTTAGACAACCCAGAAGAGTAGGCTCTAGGAAGAAACTGGAACATTCTAGCAATGCTCAGCTTTTGTGCAAATGACCACTGAGAAAGACTTTTAAGGACACAGCTACAGTCTACCAACCAATATTATGGAGCTAAAGTCTATCTACCAGTATTATGCTTCACTATAAATCACTGGCTTTTACAGGCAGGTTTGTAGAAACTGAAAGTAAAATAACAAAACATGAAGGCATTTTAGAGTTAGGTCTAGATACAAGTGGCAATTCTGTTACTTGGTAGCTAAATGGTTCAGGATAAGCTATCTTAACCAATCTGAGCCTTTATTTCCCTCAAGAGTATAAAGAAGAAAACACAGCTTACCTGCTAAAGACTGGGCAAATGAAATGAGATCAAAGATGTGAAACTTTTATTTTGTTGTCCTGTAAGTACTCTGTCAATATTATTTCATCTCTCTCTTTTCCTTTTATAAGCAGTAAAAGTACTAAGTTCTTGGTTTTTATTAATGCTAGAAAAAGCATTTTTCTAGGTAACAAAAACATTTTGGAAATACTAAAGAGGAAAAAGCTGCCTGCTCCCTTCCCAGTCCATTCAGATATTCTCCTGCATGTACACCTGCCATTTCTGATTTTCCCTAAGCACCTGATAGGACATGCAGGTGAAAGTTTATTTGGGATATGTGCTTCAATTTTAAAAATATTATCATCTCTTTAGTCTTCCTGTAAAAATAAGTCCTATCTCAAAAAGGCTATTTGCCTATGAACAATATCCCAAATGGTTTTGGTAGACTAAGTAAAAACCAGAAAATTCTAATTTTCCATAGGTTAAGAAAGGTGTTAAATATGTTGATCAGAAATAATTATCACTCTGTAAGAGACTGGAACAGCCAGGGACTAGCTGTCATGTTTCTAAGAGGTAGGCAAGCAAGTATTTCTTAAAGAAAGCAATTCAATTTTTAGAACTAATTTTTTATCATTAAGATTATCAAATATAGACAAATCTTTAATGCATCTCTCTGTACCCATGACCCAGTTTCAGTCATTATCACCAGACCCATTTTAAAGCTGGAATTTAGAGATACTATCTAATCTTTTTCTATCAGATACAGCAATTTAAGAGACATGTATACTTTCACAATGGTATTCCCTCTGGGGACAGAAGAAATCTTTACAATTAAAACCTCAAAAGCAAAGTGGAAATTACCCAAATGTTCACATTTTAAACATCATGTGGTTTCCTTTTTTCTTAAATAACTTCACAGAAGGGCTAATCTTCCCAATGTGTAGAGTTTTTACTTTAAAACCCCTTTGAGTCAACACACTACAAGCAATAATAACAAAAGTCCTAAGGTCTCCAACTGAAGAAACATAGGAAGCCAAAAGAGCACAAGAGAAAGAGACACGGTGGAAGGGGTTAAGGAAAGACAAATGGCAATGAGTTACTGGACAAAAATGAAATAGGGGAGGTGGGGAAGAGGGGCCAGGGAGGGGCCGACCAAAAACCAAAAACCTTTTCTGGTTCCACCAAAAAAAAAAAAAAAAAAAGAAAAAAAGAAAGAAAGGAAGAAATGAAGGTCGAAAGTATATTCACAGATCAGAACCTTATCATGCCATCATTCTTCTAACTTCCAAACACAGGGTCATCACACTGTCTTGGATAACTTAATCACCCAATAACACAACTGTTCTTGCCATTTCTCCCAAGTCATCATAAACCCAGAAAGAATAGCCTTCTTCACAGATACCACAATGTTTCTGCCACTTGACCCCTTACTATTAAGAAAACCACTTGTGGCATATAATTGAGTACTATCTTCCTTCTCTGCTGTGGGAAAGCCTTCTATTCTTCTTAGGGGATAAAACACAACTTGCTGCAAGTAGAAACACAAGCAAAAGGAAGCAAAATGCCTCCTCATCTGTTACTCCCTTAGCCTCAAATTATATGCAACTGTGAGCTGATTCATGTGGATGGGCTTTTCACTACAAGAAAGCTTGGGTTCCCCTGCAGAGATCCAGAGAGTTCCAATTAAGCAGGCTGGATGAAAAGGGGTGATATCACAAGCCTAAGCAGCAAGCTTTAGGCCTCAACACATTAATCAGAAATGACTCTATGGTTAGTTTATATACATGACATCACAGTCTGAGCTGCGGTCCCTTCAGAACCCACCGAACTGTTCACTGTCATCTGACTTAATTTGAAAGGAACTTTCATAACTTTAGACGTCAATGTAAGCTTCAAAACCTACAAGTAACTAGGTATGATTTTTGCAGAATATAAATTTCGGCAATGTTCTTTTCTAAGCCTTGACGTAGTAGAGGGTTTTTTTTTCCCCCCTTCCAAAAGGGAATATTTACCCTCCTCTGATTAAGTGAAGCTTATAAGGCTAGGCAGATCACAAGATCTTAGAAGAATTGGGAATACGACAAGCATATCCTCTATTACTACTCCTATTCAATATAACACTTGAAACATTACCCAGAGCAATCAGGCAAGAGAAATAGGTATGTATAGGATAGGTGGAAATCAAAATATATTTATTTGCAGACATGATCCTTTATATACACGACCAAAAACCAAACAACTCCTAAAACTAATGCATTCAGCAAGGTAAGATACAAGATGAACACACAAAAACCACTGCTGTTATATGCCAATAGTGAACTTAACTGGAAAAGAAATGAGTAAAACAAACAGCTTCCAAAACATTAGAATGAGGCATTAACCTAACAAAAGTAAAAGACTTCTCTAATGAAAACAACAGTACACTGAAAAAGGAAATCAAAAGGACACCAGAAAATAGGAAGATATCCCTTGTTTTTGGTTAGGCAGACCCATATATTGTCAAAATGGACATACTACCAAAAAGTTAATAGATTTAAAGTAATTTAAATCAGATACCAATAGCATTCCTCACAGATCTAGACAAAACAATCCTAAAATTCATACAGTACAAGAACAGACTCCAAATAGCAAAAGCAATCCTGGGCAACAAGGGCAAAGCAGCAGGCCTTGCAGTTGCAGATTTCAAGTTGTATCACAATGGTATAGCGACAAAACCAGGAAGATACTGGCACAAAAAGAGATACTTGGATTAATGGAATAGAATACAAGATGCAGAAACAACCACATAAAGCACATTTAGCTACCATCTGATTTTGACAAAGGGGACAAAAATATATCTGCTGAAAGATAAAATAAGTAAAACTCTTGATGATACAGGCAATAAACGAACAGAACAACATTTGCATCAGAAGTAACATTAAGAATCAACAAACAAATATATCGAATTAAGAGGCTTTTGCACAGGCAAGGGAACAACCTACAGAATTAAGAAATAATTGAGTGAATGGGTAAGTATTTGCTGGCTACTCCTCAGAGAGAAGACTAATGTCTAGAATATATTTAAAAAAATAATAATAAAAGAGCCAATGGAAAAAAAATGGGCAACTGATATAACAGATACTTCTCAGAAGAAATACAAACTGGCCTATAAATCCAGGAAAAAATGTTTAATTTCTATGCCCATTAGAGAAATGCAAATTAGAAAAACACTGAGATTCCATCTTGCTCCAGGAAGAATGGCTATCATCAAGAAATCAAAATCAATAACAACATGCTGACAAGATTGTGGGGGAAAAAAGGAACGCTTCCCAATCATTGGTGAGAGTGAAATTAGTGCAGCCACTACAGAAGTGAGTGTGTGATTCCTCAAAACAAACAAAAAACCCAAAAAACAGATGTTGCAGTCAATTCAGACATTCACCTTCCAGATTTCTTACTCAGAGTTTAACACAATACATTACAATGATACATGCTTGGAGGCAGTCCTTATGTCCATCAACAGATGACTAGATAAAGAAAATGTATTTATGTCCAATGGCATTCTATTTTGCCATAAAAAGTTAAGCCGTTTATAGGAAAATAGTTACACCTTGAGACCATAATATTAAGTGAAACAAATTGGACACACAAGCCTAAATGAGACACTCAAAAGTATAAACAGGGAAAAATAACAGGTAGTAAGAAATAGGGAGAAAGATCTTTTGCAAATGGGAAGGGGATCTAAGGGGGATGAAGACAAGGGGAGGTGGAAGAAAAATAGAATTGATATAATATGTAAACATACCAATTCCCCATGGTGTATGTATGTAATTATTACATATTGAAAACACATAATAAAAGTAAGAATTTTTTTAACAAATAAGTTACTAGCAGGAGTCATGTATTAAGGGAAGTAAGAAACCTTAGGAAGACATGAATACAAGAATAGGAAACTAAGTGAAAAAAAGAACTAAGGAAGGCCAAACAGGAATACCAGAGTCACTGGAAATAAAAGCAAGAATGATTCACTCGGGCTGGGGAGGTGGCTCAGTGGAATAAGCGCTTCCCTGGCCAGCACAAGGGCCTGAATTCAATACCCAGTTCCTAAAAAAAAAAAAGAATGATTCACTCAATACCTTTGAGAAGATAACACTGTTCATGTCATCACTGGGTGAATGAAAGAGGTCAGAATCACTCCCAGATTCTCTCTGAAGTACACCTTCTTTTGAGGTATACTCTCTGTCCAGTCCAACATCCAACGAGTTCTCACATTCTGAAAAAGAAAGTTTATTCAACAGATACTCCATAAAAGTTTTTTTTTCCATTTTTTTATTTATCTCTGAATCTATTTTTCACCCAGTATCTAACTCCTTTATTTTTATTCCCCTTACTGCTACCTTCTTTTATTTTCTTTTTATGTATCAGTAAGAAGCTGGGGAGATAGCTTGGCAGTCTAACCACCTCACCTGCCTGGCAAGTGAAAGAACCTGAGTTTGATCCCCAGGATTGCATGTTGTGCTGGCCCTGGAACCCTGAGAGCCATGTCACAGAAACAAGGTGTGGTGGTGCACACCTGTAATTCCAGCACTGGGGAGGCTGAGACAGAAGGATCACTAGGAGACTGTGCTGTGTAACAAGATCCTGTACCAAATAAACAAATCAGTAAGACAGAAAGGACAGTCCAAGTTATGTACTAGCTTTTAGCCCTGCTCCTGCAACTCTAGGGTGATGCAGTTACTATGTGAGACTCGAGTTTGTCATGTGTCTGTAAGGTATAAAGAGAAAAAAAGGGTTAAGGAGATAGATCAGCGGCATAAGCATCTGCCTGGCAAGTGCAAGTTCCTGAGTTTGATCCCCAGCACCCCGCCCTCCCCCCCAAAAAAATTTAGAATCATATTTTACCTAAACAATAACATCTTTTTTCTGGTAACTGAATCATTTTTCTTGTGTTTCTAAAATCTGAAGTTTATCATTACAAAATTATGTGACAAGAGTTCATGGAAAATTTGAGGTCTGAGACTACAGTGCTTTCTGGAAACTTGTGCCTTTCAAAATAGTGGTATAAAGAAGATCTTCTATAATAAATACATTAGAATATTAAACAATAGGTTCTACTAAGTAATAACAGAAATGTAATTTAAACTTTTTCCTCTCTTAAATAGGTCTTACATTGGGAAAATAAGCTGGAGTGAAACAAATGCATCATCTGGAATCTGTTTTCTGTTCAGCAACTAGGATGGCGACTCTGATGAGTCAGTGGGAGGGACCCCTGACAAAATGATTACAATGGTATGTTGAGAAATCCTCTAGACTTAGTATTAAGAACTAGCAAGGCATTAAAAAAAGAAAGAAATTAGCAAGGTATTCATCTACTCCCTCATGTACTCTGCAAAATATTGAGACTTAAGGTCTGGTAGCAGTAAGATTATAAAGATATTTATAGATGGTGAAACTAGGAATCCAAAGAGTTAATTAGTGCAATGTACACTAAGTTCCTTCAAGAAGGTCTAGGCTGAAGAGGCAGCTCAGCGGTTTAAGCCCGTGTCTGGTAAGCACAAGGGGCCAGGTTTGATCCCTGGTACTGCATGCTGTGCAGGAATGGTGGTGCACGCCTGTTAATACCAGTGCTGGGGAGACAGCTCGGCAGTATAAGTGCCTGCCTGGCAAGCTCAAGGACCTGAGTACCCAGTACCACATGCCGTGCCAGCCCCGGAATCCCAGGAGCCATGCTGGCCATGGAAATCAGGCATGTGGGCCCACACCTGTAACCCCAGCACTGGGGAGGCTGAGACGGAAGGAATACTACAAGTCCAAGCTGCTATGTTCCAAAATAAATATTTTTTTTTCTTTAAATAAGAAGTTCTACAGAGCAATTCCTCTAGTATTTTATTATGTGATGTAGATATATGTGTACTTTATGAAATCTGTAAAACATGAGAAGTAGAGCAGAAAACTTGAATACTTACAGTTCTAAACTTCTACCTAGAGGTTTTAGTAAAAAGCAAATTCAAGAGGAACTGACAAAGAAGAAGATAACAAAATAAACCAAAAACAATAGTTTTAGGTTTTATTAAGGAATATACAATATTGGAATTCAAAATGAGTATAGGTCCTGTACCAAACAGATCATAAAACAGAAATGTGTTTGTTCCTAGATCGATACCTAAATCAGAATGATGATCGACAAAAATAAGTACACAGTAATGAGACAAAAAAAAAAGCAGTGCAAACATACAGAAATAGACTGGCTCATGGAGAAGCCTAGAGCAGCTAAAGGTATGGGTAGAATACCTCTGTGCCACTCCAGGGGCAGAACAAAGACTAGTGAATGTAAGCTGAAGAAGTCCCTATGAGCAGGACTTTGGGAGACTCAAAGTAGATGGAGTGTCATTTCATCAGAAATGCTAGTGCAGAGGGTGAATGACTTTGTCAAGATATTACAGAAAAGAGATCTACACAGGATAGTTTAGACTTGTTAACTTTTAACGTCTCTCTTGATTCATAGGAATATACAATACTGGTTGTATACTCTCTTCTAAACATACATAGGTTGTATGCTTAGAAGAGAACTAGGAGTCCCCGGTTCCGCAAAAAAAAAGAAGAAGAGAACTAGGAGTATGTGAGAGGCTGTCTACTTGCAAATTAATTATTAACTAATAAACTGTGTACTCTGGACCAGCCAGATAGCTTTGAGGAAGGGGGTTCTGAATTGGCATAGGCTATAAATTGCTTGTTGGTAAAACCACTTCTTCCATTAGGTATCTGGATAGGTAATAAGTAATAGAAAGAAAGAGATTCTTAGTGTGTATATGTGTGTGCGATGGGGGCCCCATCTTGTATTAGAATTATGAGACAACTTCATTATAGAATTATATAAAGTATGTCATAGATAGCAAGACAGGATATGTAGATTAATTTCAAAATTTTTCAGTTAAAAAAATGACCTTAGTACATTATTTATAATGTATTCTGAATGGGAATAATAGGTCTGCATTTAAAAATCTGGAAATTACATATATTTTAAAAAATTTCCTCAATACACAAATTTCATAGGTTATATAGTAACTTAAGTGGAATTGGTGTGTTTGTGATCTTTCTGTTCCTTCTTTCTCACTTGGAAAAAATCAAAAGCTCCACTCTGTGGCTCAAGGGAACAAGGGTCTAGCCAAGAACAGAAAGGGCTGTCACAGCAACCATGCTGAGTGTTAGCTATCCAGCTGGCAGTCTAAAAAACCATGTCCAAACTCCAGACTGGAAAACAGACTAGCTCAAGATATCCTACAGGAAAATTCACAGAAAGAGCCAGATTCAGGTCTGGTAGGAACATCTCACCCACACAACAAATCCAAACCAGCACAGGACCACAAACCAAATTTAGGACCTCACTTTGTGAGATACTGTTGACAGCTGGGGTCAGGCAAAGGGAAGAGTATGAAAAAGCAGCAAGGAAGACAGAGGGACTATGAGCCATCATAACACCATGACCTCTTCCACAGGGTTTGGGGTGTGGTATCCCAGAAAGGCAAAGCTAATTTACCCTGTGTCATGTGCTGGTAAATTTTCAAAATTCGTGAAATCTTTTCTTTCTTCTAACATTTCTTTCCTCTTGAGTAAAGTAATATAAAAAGTGATGTTACCAGTTGGATGGATTTGGCTTAAATCTAGGCCTAACTACTTACAATAAGAACGATCCCAGACAAATAGTAATTTACTCTTAAGATTTTTGTTTTGTTTTACTTTTTGGTACCATGAATTGAATTCACAGCCTCAGGCTTGCCAGGCAGGCACTGTGCTGCTGAGCTATAATCCCAGGGACACAAATGGTAATTTAAACCCCTAACACTCCATTCTTGGAACGGTGAAATGAGATTAGCAACTACCCAAAGAGTTGTAGTTGACAGAAATTTATACATGTAGTAACCATAACTGTGATACACACATGCCTAATCAGATACATTGTAACTATGAGATATATATGCCTAATAAAGTTTCGGCTTCATTAATCTTCACTGTGTGATTCTTTAAATAGCTGGATGGCAGCATAATGAAGGTAGGCACAGTAAGGACAGGTCCTGTTTTATAGCCCAAATACAAAGCTGTCTATGTTTTTTGTGCAATGAGTCATTAACTTTTTAAAAACTAGTGGAGCATGTACCTTTCAAAATGTTATCTGATCATTCAGGCTTAAAATGACAGTCACACACCATGTGACTTGGTGTATATCAGGATATACCATCTAGCTGTGCATAGGTATACCCCATGATGTTCACACATTGGTAAAAATCACCTGATATACTGTATTTCTCCAATGTAGCCTCGTCTTTAAGTGACACAGTACTGTATATTCTAACACACTAGTTGAAATATGTATGAAAACATACCCGGCAAAATCTCAAGTTTTGTTAAGCCATGTAATTTATAATTGTATCTTGTATTCATACACAATTAAGAAGTATAAAAGTGATTTTAAGATGTATTATCTCATTTGATCTAACTTTTAACTTTCTGGAAAGAATGTGTGTGCTTTTTTTTATTTTTTATCTATTTAAAATTTTTTTATTTTTTAAATTTTTTTGTGGAACCGGGGATTGAACTCAGGCCCTTACACTTGCCAGGGAAGCGCTTATTCTACTGAGCCATCTCCCCAGCCCTGGAAAGAAGGTTTATAAAAGAAGAAAATGGAAGAAAAAATATATACTTGAGAATCATAAAAAATAACAAAATCAACAACATAAAAAATTCTACTATACTTGGATCAAATTGTTTATGCTACAGTTAACATGTGGAGTAGGAAGTCTAAATAATTCAAGATTATGCTCTCAGCCAAATACTCTAAAGGACTAAATGAAATACTCAAATTGTGAGACAGTGTCATTTATTCTTTACATGGCAGTTTTACTGCTTTAATGGGCAAGTAATTGTACTTTTAGAAAAAAGCTCCAAGTAGTTTAATGAGACAAAACATAGTAAGGTTAACTTCTAACATTGTAGAATGCAGAGATCCAAGTGTAACTACAGCATAATATCCTTAACCACTTTCTCAGAAGTTTAGGGAAAACACTGTATATTTGTTTTCAATACTTCCTTTATAGTAAAGACAGAGTTGAGAATCAGTATGAAACCTCTTTGGACATAGAAGATTGATATAGCTTGTTTTAATATTTAATATGATTGCAGGTTACCTACAGGTAAACCATTCCTAAAAAGACTAGCAAAAATAAGAACATAGCAATTTTAAAAGCAGAGCAGTAAAAACTGGAAACAGCTTGGGTAGGTTAAGCAGACTCAAGAAGTCAAAATGCAAATTACTAGTATTCACTTAGCTGTAGGATCAGGCACAGAGAAAAATAATTACTCTCCATGTCATCTGTACAACTCCCTTCAATGAGGCAAGCTAGGAATACTTTACAGATGGGAGACAACAGAACACACAGACTTGAGAGAACATCCCTTATGTCACAGAGAGCTGGTGGCTGAAACTGGGAATCCTAACTAAGCATAAATCGTGTGCTGTGTCATTAACAAACAACATCTTAGAGAATTTTTCTTCTATCTGTTGATACTAATATCTCACCGTTGCTAAAGAAATGATTCAATTCCTGACAATACCTTGAAAGTGTGAAGCTTCTTAGCTCTGGCTTCTCGGTAGGTTATAACTCAGAAAAACTCTGATGCCCAGGTCATATCACACTTCAATTAAATCAGCATCTTGGGCGGAGCGGGGAGGGTGGTAGGCATGATATCTATCTATCTATCTATCTATCTATCTATCTATCTATCTATCTATCTATCTTTTTTAGTACAGGGTCTACAGGGTCTCAATACACAGAGCAGACTCAGTGATCCTACTATTTCCAGCTCCCACGCACTGGGATTACAGGTTCATGCCACCACACCTAGTATCAACATCAGTATATATTTAAAGCTTGCTTGCTTGTATAATTCTAACATGCAGCTGAAACTGAGAACTACAGGTTCACATATGAGATACATGTATATTTTTTACTATGTTGGAAAACTTATGCAAATACACAGCACCAAATGCCTTCACAAATGAATAATCAATCATAAAGCCACAGGTGAATTCCCTTATTATCAAAACAAAAATTAAGGAAATTTCTTCTGTTCATCTTCAATCATGGGACAAAATGCTTACCAATCCAAATCATACATACAACCTTCCTCTGCTTTACTGTACAGCATAATAAGAAAGGGCAGAGATCCAAATCCAAGGATCTATTATTAGAGTGGGAGTGTGGCTCCAAAAAAATAGACATTCTGGATACAATCACTTAGTCAAATGAGAAAATGGAAAATCTCTGCTCACCTGGGCTCTGCTTGGAGGCCAAAAGAGATGGTGCAGCTGGGCAGGGCTCTAATGTACACCAACTTTCACGATTTATCTGAAAAATAAGAACAATCTGCTTCAGACACTAAAGTAATGTGGGACAGCTTAACTGCTAAGACTATATTGCTGCAGGAGCCAAAACCTTCTGCTTGCTAATATTTCATTTCAGAGTGGTTAAAATTATGTAAGGAAAAAACAAACAAGCAAACTTTCCAACACAATCAAAGTAGTTCAGACAATTAACATTCTGAAGAGCCTATGAATAGGCACACAAAAGCAATAGGGAAAAAAAAAAAAAAAAAAAAAAAGGCCATGGTACAGGCCAACCATGGAATAAAGTTAACAGATAAAAATGACAAAACAAGTTTGATGTCTGAGTTTAAAAGCTAAAAGACAGTATATTTTTAAAGTTCAAAATCACAAAATAATTCTCACTTGAGGTAATACATGCCAAGTAGGTAGCTAAAAATTCATTTGTTATCTTGTGAAACTTTCAAAATAGCTTCAAGAATTTTGCATTAACTCTAGTCATTCAAAGAGTAAGCTCAGAGGTGTTAAGTAATAAATAGCTCAAATGGCAAAGGATGTGAGCCTCTATGATTCCATAAAGTATCCACCTATCTCCCAAAATAAGGTTTTTAAAAGATCTAACCTTAAGTCTCCCAATTATCTTAACATTATAACCTTTTAACTAACTTTAATATCATTTCAAAAAAATGATCCTTAAAGATTTTAAAACTCTCCTCTCAGTAATTAATAGCAGACACAAATTGGTGTGAATACTGCAAATTTCCAATATATCAGTCACTGTATCTAACCAATAAATACAGAACATTCCAACCAATTTTTAGCAGAATGCACATTCTTTTCAAATGTACCTAAAATGCTCACATTTTTGTGGCATAAAGCTAATTTTAAATAAAAGAAAAATGACATATTCTGTCATATATGTCTCAAATTTAAGATATTCTGACAACAGTATAAAATCAAAAACAAAAATAATTAAAAACTCAAATTTGAACATGTAACTCAAAACTCATTATTAAAGCTAACACTATAAAACTTCTAAAGAAAACATAGGAGAACATGTTCTTGTGACTTGGGGTTAGGCAAATATTAGACAGTATGCAATGAGCAGCATGAAAAACGCAAATTCAACTACATCAACGTTAAAAACTGGCTCCTCAAAAACTATTACAAGATAAATGAAAAAAAAAAAAATACAGAAGGGGAGAAAATGTTTTAAAAGATGTCAACCTGCTAAAGCACTCTACCCAGAATATATAAAAGCAAAACAAAAGCAGGGTACAGTGGCCTTTGCCTTACTTCTAGCATTTGGGGAGGCTGAGGCAAGAGGGTCACACGTTTGAGTCCTACCTTAGGGGACTGAGATATAGCTCAGTGGAAAGGCTATGAGTTTGGGGCTGGAGAGATGGCTCAGTGGTCTAAAGCACCTACTTGGAACAAGCTTGGCAAAGCACAGGGACCGCGGTTCAATCTTCCAGCACCACATGCCAGCCAGCCGCGCCCCCTGGTGGGCTGAGCTGGCCACACACACACACACACACACACACACACACACACACACACACACACAATAAATGTTAAAAAAAAAATTAAGAAAAAAAGAAAAAAAAATTAAAAAAGAAAAAGAAAGGCTATGAGTTTGATCCCTAGCACAAGGGAAAGTGAGTTTACACTACAACAAAACATCACTGTACGGCCACCAAATAGCTCAGTGGATTAAAGAGCCTACAAGCAGGCACAGGGATGGGGCCTGGGGCCTGCTGTGCTGGTCCCCCCGCCCCCCACCCCGCCATGCTGAGACAGCAATTGAGACTGGGCATGCGCGGTGGCGCACACCTGTAATCCCAGCTCTTAGGAGGCTGTAAACAGGCAGATCACTATGAGTCCAATCTAGTACTGAAACCCTGAACAACCTTCCCCCCACAAAAAAAAAAACAAAACATCACTGTTTAAATGGATAAAAGACTGATAAACATTTCATCAATAAAAGATAATGAATGGGAAATATAAAAAGAAAAAGACATTCAAAATTGTTACTCAACAGAAAAACACAAAATAAAACCACAAGGAGATGCAACTATGCTTGCATTAGAAGAGGTTAATGACTAATGATACTACTGTGTATTGACAAATATGTGGGACAAGGGAGCATGAAAATGTAGCTGAAAGAACACAAAACGGAGCCATTTTGAAAAACAGCCCAGCATTTTCTTCGGTCAAACATACACTACACACAACATAGCATCTCACTCAGGAGTATTCCCCTCACCCCCCCCCAAAAAAGACATCTTCATATAAAGATGACAGCAGATTCACAGAAGTGCTGAATTACTAATTTAAACAATATGGACCAACTCCAAGAGTGCTGTTATGGAAGAAGAAAGGGGCAGACAAAAGACTACCTGCTTCCTGTATGGTTCTGTCTATATGACACTTCAGAAAAGCCAAACTGCACTGTCAGAAAGCATTTCAGTAATTAACAGAAACTGGAAGGGAAGACTAACCAAAAAAGAAATACAAGAAAACTTTTCAGCTGATATATTCCTATATGATGGGTAGTTTGCTAATATGCATCAAACTACAAACCCCACCAGTGCAGGGTGGTGGTATTTCTTTGGTTTAGTTTTTGTGGTACTGGGGACTGAAGCTAGCACCTGTGCATGCTAGGTAGGCAAACACTGTACCACTGAGCTATAATATCCCTAGCATAAAGTGGTGAATTTTATTGCATGCAAATAATGTGAAGTATAAAACATAAAAGTAAGTTTTTATAACCCCTAAACTCTTCATTATCCTCTAATTGCATTAAAACTAAAAGTTCAGCTGAAAGACCGGGCATGGTGATATGTGCCAGTGATCCCAATGCTGGCCAGGCTGAAATCAGGAGGATCACTATGAGTCCAGGCTGCATAGTGAGACCTTGTACCAAATACATTAAAAAAAAAAAATCAGTAATGTAAGGAGCTTCTAAACAAATCATCAAGTATCTGAATATAGTGCACAATGACAGAATGTGATTGTCATTTCATGGCCTTTAAATATAGAATGTACCCAACAGATGCCTGATCACTTTGCTGAGAAGGTACTAATCTACTCTGCTGACAAAGATCAACAGTTTTACTAATTACAGTAAGAAGGATACTACAGAAATATGGTGGGTCTTTTCGAATTATAACTGACATTAGAATAAATTAATTAAACCAGTATCAACTGCTTATGAGTAACAGAATAACCATGTAGTCTAGAATCATATGAAATAAAACATCATTTGCTCATTTCAGCTCTTTCGCTACCACAATGAATAAAGGCAACAAGGGCCAGGAGCCTTCATTAATTGTTGGGGACCTAAACTTATAAGTTGACATGGTATCTGCATAAGGCTGTTCTTGCCCTGCTTTGTCGGCAGGTTTTAGAATGCAGAAATCCCAGTTCCTCTTGGTCACTGCTGAGGTCTTGATGGCCAATGAAGCTGTGACTCTCACAGAGCAGCATGAGGCCCATTGAGGACAATACACAGAGAGAACGGTGTGGGGATGAACCCTGTTCCTTTATTATGTTAACCTTTCCCATTCAAGCACTATCTTTACTCTGTTGCCTGCCCACTGCCCTGGCTAATAAAATAGAGGTTAGCTGGATATTCTTGTTCATTGTTCCCAAAGAATACTGATCATTCCAGAGCCCTATATCCTTGCAATTCTTATCTCTTGCTTTTTTTCTTTCTCAGGGCAAGCCTGACTGCAGAGGTCCCTGATAACTGGTGCCACGGAAAGGTTTACTGATAATCGGTGTTTTACTTTCTAGGGTACTAGAAAATGTCAAATATTTGGAAGTGATTCTGTATGTAAGGAAATCTTCAGCATATCTCTGGGATGATATAAAACATCTTTGCTAAAATGTTATTTGGGTATGCACAATAAAGGATACACACAAATTCAGGAACCTTACTAAATCTTACCCACATCTTTCAATGAGTTAAATTTTCTTTCTTTGTTTTTTTTTTTTTTTTTTAAGCACCATTGAGATTTTATTTAAATTTAAAAAATTTCAACTGGGCCAAAATTTAACTTAATGTAAAATAAACTTCCCCACTAATAGTTAAAGAGACCAGAACCTTCATACTTCAAAATGAAGTTAATTGAATTTTGAAGGGAAAAACCTGCATCCCGCCTTTTATTCCTGTAATTGAAACATGTTGCTTGAACAGAGCAACAAATTTTAAGTTAACAGAAATTTTTAAAAGCTTAATGAAGCCTTTAACAGTGAAAAATATAAATAAATCACTTTTGACTATAATATTGCTTTCTTCCCGCTACACAGCCTTCAAAAATTTTTAGCCTACATTTTAAGAAATGACTAAAATTCTGTAAGTTACAATATTTATATTACCTTTTCAATACTACACTTGTTCCATTTCCAAGGCTAATGAGTAAACATTTCTTTGCTTTGAGTGTGGGAAGAACTACTAGACTCCATATATACCCACTCATTTCAGACAATTTTATATTATGTAATGTTCAGTTTGCAAAGTAATAGATGTCAAAATTATAAGAACAAAATTAAAATGAGTCAAATCTTTTTAAGTGAATACACTATGTGATGAGAGCTATCAGTGCATGGCAATCATTTTCCACTGGTGTCTCACATCTTTACAGGTCTTGTGGGTAAAGGCTCCAATTGTGCTTCTACTCCAGACTATCTTTCCAAGAATGTCTGTGTGTCAGTCTTGGGAGATAAAGAAAATGCTTCCATCTAAAGCAAAGGGCAGGCTCTTTTTACCTTTTAGTATTGCAAAGATAATGTCTGACTATAGACCAAAGTCACGTAGTTTATTACCCACTATAAAATTACAGGTTTCTTAAGATTTGCGTTTCTTAGCTCTGACACAGCATCTACCTGAACTGGGCCCCTCCCTGTTACCTTCATGGAACTGGAAAGCAAAAAGACCCAACAAGCAAGTAGTGTTCATTCTGCCTGTTGTACTGTGAGTAATGAACACATGTGCCTCTGACCCAAGAGTCCATGACTGCA